AACTTTACGTTAAAGTTAAGTAACCTAACGTAACGTAAGTAAAAAGAAAGTAATAAGTAAAGAAGTATATATATATATATATATATATATATATGTATATATATATATATATATATATATATAACTGAATCAGTTTGCTGTGCACCAGAAACTAGCACAACACTGTAAATAGACTATACTTCAATTAAAAAGAAAAAGAAAAAAAAGTGAGCCCTTCAGGCCCAGGCAGATCTCACCTCCATTGTTAAACTGGTCACCCTGAGGTGGTTTTCCAGGGACAGGGACAAGACATTGCTCAGAATGGATACCACAGAAGCCAGATTCCCAGCTGTGGTTGATGGACTTTGCTGAAGAACAACTGAAAGATTCTGCACCAAGGATGACATGGCTGCCTCGGTGGCGTTGGTGGTGATCACACTGAAATTCTGGGAAGAGAAATGGTCAAGTTCTAGAAAAGAGTGAAATGCTTGTGCTCCATCAGACTTGAATCAGATTTCATGGCCACGTGTAACTAACACTTGTATGGTGCATTACAACGTAGGATAATCGTTCAAGGATAATGACAATATAATGGCTGTCGTTCAGTACTTTCTATTTCCCAGGCACCATGCTAAATGCTTACTGGGATTCACTGATTTAGTCCTTATACCACCCTTTGAAGGAGGTATCGTGGTTACTTTCACTTCATAATTAAGGAAACTGAAACTTGAAGCGATTCATTAAAAAGCATTTTCATGCAAATTATTATCCTAATTATGCAGAACCTGATGTTCAGTGAGATTCAGTGACTTTCCAAATAGCACTCAGCTAGGAAGTGCAAAGGTAGAGTCTACTTGGCACTAAACCCTATGTTATACTCATTATACTCTGCTGAGAAATCCTTACAGGACGGGGAGACGGAGGGCCATACGTGGAGACCGGACCACACCCTCATGGGATTTGGAGTGTTCCTTCCTCTTGGAGGCTCCCAATACTTCCACTACACTGCGCTAACTTGGAGGGCAGCCAGGAGGGAATATTCCCTTCATTCAAAACAAGTCAATCCAGGATCTCAGATCTCGCCTATTTTCCTCCTTACTCTGTTCAGCTCACAGAGTCATTCTCTGCCTAGAGCACCCAAGCTCTGCCTGCCTTCACACCCTGGGGTGACCTAGTCCCAGCTCTGGTCCACATCTAGAACTGAGGCAAAGAAGGCAAGAGCAAGGATAAAACCCCAGAAGCATCAGGTCCAGTTTCCTTCCCCAGTGTACAGATGAGAAAACTGAGGTCCACAAAGGGAGCAATGATCCTTCTGTCGTCCCTCTGGCGTTCTCTGCTTCAGCAGCAAGGTCTCTGGCTGGGACTGAAGTTCTGCTCACTCTGAAGATCTAGTTGCCCTTCTACCATTTATGGTAGATTCTTCCACGTGGATTCATGTCTCTGCAGCCTGCTCCTCCTGAAACCGTCCAATCTGACATGTTCTGACGTTCCCAGATGCCACCTAGACTCACTACTCATGCCCACACTCCCTGGATTTCCCAGGGTCTGATGTCATCCTCAACTTCTGACCAATGAGACAAATTGATACATTTTACCCCTCACCCAGCCATGCTCACTGGCAGATGCCCAGTGTGAAACTCAAAACCAGGGCAAGTCTGCAAGGTGGAAGTGCTTTTTACCTTCAGTTCTTCCAGCTCAGCGAGCACACACGTCTCCCTGAGGATGTGCCACCCAGAGGGCTGGCACCTGGCAATGATGCTTCCGGTGTAGCCACTGCTACAAGGAAGAGTATACTCATCATTCTCGGACCCAAATCCAAAGACAAGGCTGTTACACTGGACTGGAAAAGAGTGGAAACAAAGGGGAAAACGTCTCTGAATGCCTTGGCACTCTGTGTTAACGATGCAGCAACACTTTAGAAGTCATAATTTCAGAGGCAAAACCCAGCCAAAATTCAGGAGCAGGAGAGCAGGACCCTTTGAGGGTCAGCTTCTTCCCTAGAAGCATCTTTTCCTCCGTCCTGATGCCCTCCCCGCCCCGAGGGCGGCCCCCTCCCTCCGGGTGTCTGATCTGTGCCAAGAATCTCACTTTTAATGGACTTTCAAATAGTAAGTATTCGGTAAAAATAAGTCAGGGGTGACCACTCCCAGGAAATAACTTCCTGCTTTAAGGGGATGCCAGAAAACCAGAAAACCTTCAAGACACTGTGGGACAAGGCAGGCATGAGATGGTTAAAAGAGAGGCAGCTGTCATTTGGGGGTGACATGTCCTACTCTGTACCCCTTTGAAGGCTTCTCACATCAGGACAGCCCATCAGCTCCTCTTGCAGCTGGTCCTCAGTAAGATACTCCTACCATGATTGGGACGGAAGGAGGAAGCCTTGAACGGAAGATCCACAAAGGCTATGACTTTTGTTTCTTTTCCCCACTGATGTGTCCTTTGGTGCCTAACACTTAGGACGCTTAGTAAATAGTTGTTGAGTAAATGTTGACAGTGGTACACATTTGGTAAGAGAGCTTTAGTATTGAATGTAAAAACTTTTTTAAAAAATCTGAAGAAAGGAAGTAGTGGGGGTGGTGGTGTATGTCTATGTGCATCTGTGTGTTTGTGTGTCTGTGTGTTTGTTAAAGACCTGGAAAAACATGCATTCGCTCCTTGGTCCCTTGGGTTATGAGTTAGGCATATGGTCAGCCCCAGGGCTCTTCCAGCATGTATACCAGGAAACTACTGCTGAATCACTTCCATCACAGCCTGCAGTAAAATCAGCCTGGTGTGACGTTCACATTAGGAGTTAGAGACCAGATCAGCGATTAGTAAGGGTCTGAAGTAGCTGAACTTGAGTTTCATCATGGTGGGGGTGGGGTGGGAAAGCGCTGTTTGTTTCTACTAAAAGTCAGTCTTGAAACAATTCTGTTTGGGGAGCATCTCCAAAATACAGTCTCCTAATTGGTCTCCCCTAACCTACCTCCCTATGGAGAACGGGAATCCCAGGGTTACCTTTTCCGAACACTCTGAAAGAGTCGTCTTGTAGTGGAAACAGCTTGTGAAGACCCGCCTTAGCTTTCTCAGCCACCTGTTCAATGCCTGACAGCAGCTCGGAGGTGCTGCTGGAACCAACAACTTCATACCACACAACGATGCTTCCATCTCTACAATGACGGGGAAAGAAAAATGAGATTCGTTCATTCAGTCACTCGGGGCTTACTCCATGCGTGCCTGGCACTGGGTCCACAGGAGCAGGTCAGACAGATTTGGTCTTTGGGTCTTCGCCTTCATGGAGCTTACATGCTAGTGGAGAAGGCAATGCATGTGAGGGGAAAAAAAGAAAACTAGACATAATTACAAATTTTGTTAAGTGTTATGAGAGGCAGGTTCAGTGACAAGAACTGCAAGGAGAGGTGAGGCCCACTTTAAATAGGACTGGTCAGGAAAGGCCTCTCTGTGCAGAAGGTCCCTGAAGCTGAGACCTGAAGGATGAGAAGAAACAGCCGGTGATGCAAAGAGCATCAAAATAGCACCGCCAGCACCTGAGAAGGGCTGGCGGCAAGAAAATGCCTGTGAGTCTGACACATGTCCGACTAACGTGACTAAAACTCAATGAGCAAGAGCGAGATGGGTAGGAGATGACGTTTGAGCAGTACTCGGCAGCCAGAGCGACTGGGCCCTTTAGAGTTTGAATTTTATTTTTTATTAAAAGGTTATATTTTTTATTTAAAAGCAGTGGTGGATTTCCAGTCAAGATGGCAGAGAGATAGGACCACGAGCCCGCCTCCTCTCGTGACTACAACAAAACCACAACTGACTGCTTAACAACCACTGGAAGAAAAGCCTGGAACCTAGCAAAAAAGATCTTTTGCAAATGGAAACATAAAGAGGGAGCCACAGTGGGAAGGTAGGAGGGGCGTGCTCGCCATATAATCAGGCCCCATCCCCCCAGGGGGGCGACCCACAAGCTGAAGAATAATTAAGCCACAGAGGCCCTCCCACAGGAGTGAGATTTCCGAGCCCCACGTCAGGCTCCCCTGCCCGGGTTCCAGCACTGGGAGCAGGAGGAGACCCCAGGACACCTGGTTTTGAAGGCCAGCGGGGCTTAACTCCAGGAGCCCTACAGGATTGAGGGAAACAGAAAATTCACTCTCTTGGAAAGCGTATACAGAGCTTCCTGTGCACTGGGTCCAAGGGCAGAAGTGGTGATTTCATAAGAACCTGGGTAAGAATGCTACTTCAAAGACCAGTTTTGCCCTGTTTTCTGCCAGGGTGACTGGGAAACAGCACCAGGCACCCTGCAGGACTGGTGCGCAATTCCAGGGGCTCCCTTCTAAGGCCATTGTGTTACTTACCGAAATTGAGTGACACGAACTGATTCAAACCCTTGGATTCCTTTGTATGCTTCTTTAAGCTTTACAAAGAGAGCAAAGGGCGATATGTTAATCTTTGTCCCCATACAGGAAAGCCATTTGAGGAAAAAAAAAATGGATGCAGACAATAAATAAACTAACGAAAGCACTGAGCGAAGGAGACATGGCGGGAGGTAGCTGCCTGTTACAGAAATACAATTAAAATCAACGTACACACACACGCATGTGCACACATATGTAATTTATTTTTGAGGTTGCTTATAAAGAATGTAGAACCAATTGCTTAGACTAGAGGATGAATGGGGTGCCAGATAATATAATAAATTCACCCCAAATCTATTTTTCCTTCCGCAAAATAAGCCATTGATTTCAATAGGCACTTAAGCTGAGTCTACCTGGGAAGCGTCTGTGTGTGTCTTCTGTTAGAACCACACCTGAACCATCATCCTAGGCAAAGGTAGTTTAGGTGACTTCATTATGAAGTCCAGAATTTCTCCTAGGAACTCACTTTAGCCTCTAACAAGAGAGGCTTTTTGAAGAACAAATCTCAAATATTGACAATTGAGCTTAGATCATGAAAACTTTTTTTCTTAAGTCTTTAAAGTTGTATATATATATATATTTTTAAATATATTTTTATTGAAGTACAGTCAGTTTACAATGTTGTATCAATTTCTGGTGTACAGCACCAGTCCCATGGGAACATACATACATTCATTCTCATGTTCTTCTTCACCGTAGGTTACTATAAGATATTGAATACGGTTCCCTGTGCTATCCAGTACAAAAACTTTCTTTTGACAAACAAAGAACAGAAAAATAATCAAGAACACTACCCTAACAAAGGAGCCAAACTGAACACAAAAGAAATGGAAAGATGTCAACGGCTTAATGCTCCTTGAAAGAAAATGTTCAAAGTACATCATTGTGGGCAGGGTGATTAACTGCTATGTAAGTAACTCGCTGAAAATGAGTCATTAAGAATATGTGTTAAATAAATATGTTGCATTGGGAACTTATGTTTAGCCAATGAAATCTTATGTAATAGGTAGGAGGTGCTTACTTGAATTTCAATTCCAGTGGTATATTTGGAGTAAACAGCAGAAGATGGATTCAAAAGGTCTTTTGTAAATGTTTCATTAATTTTGAAAGTACCCCAAACCTCTATAGAAAACAAAAAGAAATTTACAAAATTATATAAAAATTACTCACTTGTTTATATTATAGCATAAAATTACAGAAGTCTAATTCAGGCCATCTCATTGATGGCAGTATTTCAATTTCTTTTGGTGAATGTTCACCTAAAGTAATATAGGAAGCATACATAAAACCAGAATTTTCTGTTGTGGATTTGGAACATAATGGGGATGGCTGGTAATCAAGACGAACTTTAAGTAGGTAAACGAGTAGCCACTCCCATGCGGTTATAAAAGGCAGTCACTTAGCAATGAAATATATCCCAGTTTAGGCATTGAGCTTAACATTGTCCCTATTAAAGGGTTTTTTTTAAATCATTTTTAAAACATCACGACTTACTAACTCCAACATACCCCTTGCTTACCCATTACTGGTGCTTTTCTGCTCTGGGACCAGCCGTTCCCCATCTTTGGATGGATGAATCCTGTGTAGCTTTCATTCAGTACCTTGTTAACTGAGCCTCCTTTCCATGGCCTTCTCTGGGCCCCAGAGGCAAGAGTCCTTCCCACCGCTAAATCCCTACAGTACTTTATCCGTACCTCCTTTTCAGCCTCTTTACCTACACATCTCTTTCTGAACACGTGGCATGTGTATATGTCCCCACTCTACTTTGGGAAGCCCCTTGTGACTAAAATGCCTGTCTATCCATCTCTGTATCCCCCAAAGATGGAGCAGACATGGATCACCTTTCAAAGGGTAGACTTTCGTCAAAACGAGTTGAAGAGATTACATTGTCTTCTTTCTTGTGTTAACAGCCTAGCCTCCCCTGGTAGCCTGTTAATTTATCCATAGCAAGAGAAACGCTTCATTGGGCCCTCCCAGAATTTGTCCCCGATCTGGGTATAAAGATGGTGCTTAATAATTACACGTTACCTTAATCTGAATTGCTGTGGTCCTGGTAAGAGGACCCAGGGAGACCCAGGGAAACTGGGCTATTTCAGGTCCTCCCACACACTTTGCTCAGCACTGCCAAGATCTGGAGCTGCAGAATAACTGAACCAGTCTTAGGGGAATATTTCTTAAAGTGCTTCCAGCCCTTGGAGCCCACGCCGTTGGCTGACCTCATCACCCACTGAGTGTCAACCTAAGTCAACAGTAGCTCCCTCAACTTCAACCGATTTCCTAAGGTAGACTCTTCAACTTTAGTTTCGTTTTGGCAATTCATTCAGCATGTGTATTTGTTGGCAAGTTAGAGCGTTTTTTTCAGTATAATCACTGTGTAACCCTCTCTGCTTTCATGCCTCTAAACTTTTATTTTCTGGAAGTTGATGTCGGCCAAACAGGTGAAAAGAAGGTAGGAAGGAAAATGTTATTTACTCAAGCAATTCCCCTACTCGGAATTTTAGTGAATCCCCTTAAATCTCAAAAGAATCATAGAATTATAGAGGTGAGCTAGACGCTCCTCCAGGTTGAACTGACGCCCAGACACCAACGTGCATTTCTGAATTTTCTGCACTTACGAAGCTCTCACTGAGTCCAGCCAAGCCCAGCAGGGTATGTTGTCACTGCCCTACAGTCTCCCTGAAAACACTAGTTCTTCCCAGGAAGGCAAAGAGGAAACACTGGGGCAATGATGTAGAGGTCCCTCTCTGTCCCTTGCCCCAGCCCAGAGCTCCCCTCTTGGCATCCTCACACGCTTACTTGTTCTCTCACAGAAGTAGACACTCTGCGTGAGGTTGTGGACATGACAGTCACAGCTTGGGAGCGCTCCAGCCATGTGAAGGTAGCATTTCTGGGGATCGAGGCACGAGGGAGGAAACCAGGAGTAGCCGTCTTCACAGGCACACCTCAGGGCCCTGTTCTGGTCACTACAGTCTGCAGAAGAACAGAGCTTGGTTTCATGGGGCCTGACAAATAAATGGACCACCGCTGAGTTCTCTCGGCTCTGGCATAGAATCGGAACCAAAGGCTAGAAGTGTTTCCCACCAAGAGCTCGAAGGATGAAACCAAAATGGCAATAAGTATGTATAAGGTTAAGTGAATGCCCACACGCAAGAGATACTGAGGTTGGAATTGGAAATCTTATAAAAATCAAATGGCTGGGACTAGCATCCGGAAGTAGATATGGCTTGAATGGAGAGGGAAGCAGAAGAGGGTCTGTGAACCTGTGAGTTATTGGAAGGGTTCGAGGGGATATCTGTCCACTGTCTTATCGGAGGCTCCCATCCACCTGGCGTCACTCCCCTGTAGGCCCCGTCAGCAACATGGCAAAGACACAGGGAACTTTTTTGGAGAGTCATGGTGAAAAATCCCATCAGTCAGTCCTGTGGACTTATCCCCTTCTATCTGACTGAAAACTCCCACTAAAAACCTTCCCTTTTTAATAGATTAAAAACAAAAACAAAAACAAAAAATGGGGCAAAGTCACCAGGCACTGTTGTGAAATTATGCCGGACGGTGTGCAGTAAATGGTTCTCAGGCTTTATCATGCATCAGCCTCTCCTGGTTGGGGTCGGGAGGGTCTCACCCCAAGGTTCATGGTTCACTATGATTCTTTTATGTTTCCTGATGCTGCTGCAACTGCCGGACTGGGGGCCACACTCTGAGAACTACTGCTTTAGACAGATCATTTAACGTCTCCTAACCCCACTGCTGTGGTCATTGGTGCTGTTGGCTAAATATTTCTTTTGAGCATTTATTCTTATAAGCCACTTGTGGGGCTGGCTGTTTCCGCAGCATAATCTAACCTCTCCCACCGCAAACACCACCTTCCCGGTTTCCACTCCCGGTCACCGGGGACACTGACACGTGGTGGCCTTCACTCTGATGATCCTCATCGGCCCAGGTAACCATGGGGATGGAAGCCTCAAAGCCATCAGAAATTTCTTCAGTTTTATTTTCTCCTCGGCATCTCGATAGGCCGCCTGAAGCAGCAGCTCGTACTCCTGGACTGGGCCTGGAGAGAGAAAGACAGTCGGAGGCCTCCTGTCTCAGGCTCGGGGGTGGATATTGTAGAGGGAGTGACCTTGGAGCAGTCACCCGTCTCAGCCCAGGGTCACGGACGCTGCCCAGCATTCCCTTCGGCTCATCCAGACGTGGACTAACAGTGAGGCCCCGGAGCAAAGCACGCAGACGTCCAGTGGTGCCGGAGCTGGGTCTCTCTTACTTCTGCCAAGCCGGCTGCTCCACCCTCTGGGACCTACCCCAGCATCACCCTCCTGACTCTACACACTTCTCAGGTCGCATCCAGAGTCAAGTTTCAGGGGTCAAGACCGAAGGGAGACGAGGTGAGGAAGTCCCAGGCAGCCTTCCCTGCTCCTCCCCCAGCTCTGCTCCCCTGGATGGATCTCTGATACCGACCTCCCGGTTTCCTGTCTCCTCTCTGAAGAGCCCTTCCTTCTCTTGCACAAACATTCCATGATTGGCTGAGTTTGTGTGTGTATATGAAATGCAAAAGCAAAACCAGACCAAACCTGACTTGGGCCTCCCCTAGCCCCGTCTTCACCCTGAAGTTTCTGAGCAGCATCTTTTCTTTCCCTAAGAAGAGACCACTAGGTGGCTTTGGCTGGGAGAGATGGATCCTCTCCTGAATGTACTTGGGCACGCTCACAGGGAACTCAGTATGAACTTCCGTGGGGTTTCAAGATCCTCCAGCGGTCATCTGTGGACCCCAAGCTAAGAATGTGAAGGAGCTCAGAGAAAAAGAGGCAAAAAGATTGACGCCCTTTTCTCCTGGGTCTCATTTCATTGCTGTGGGCAGTGACACCTCTCAGAGTCCCTCAGATTTCTCAGGACACTACTGTGCTTTCTGCAAGGACAGAGGAGACGGGGAGCATCTCTGACACTATCCCGTGTCTTAGGGGTCCTGTGGGGCCAGGCAGAAGGGAGATTTACAGAGAAGAAAAATCAGCTGGATCAATCCCTAGGCTTCTCCAAAGGAAATCAAGGGACTGCGGTACGTCCCAGGGCATTCACGGGAGACCCCGGCTCTCGGAGCTGCCACCAACACACACCTCGGAGCCTCAGCCCATCTCTTGCCCCCTACCCCCCCATCTCCTCCAGGCCAGAACATTTGTTCCAGGTCTTGGGAGTCACCCCAAGTGGTGGGAGCTGAGGGCATGTCCACTGCCACGGCCCAAGCAGATAAGAGGCGGGGGTGGGGAAAAGGTGACTCTGGTCACACGGTCAGGGGTTAACGACTCTGGTCTGGAGTCAGACTGACAGGGACGTGAACACGCCTCCTGCCCCCAGCTCTGTTAATTTCACTGTCTGTAAAATAAAGATGACCATTACACCGAACCCAGAGAGGGTGTGTGTGAGGCTTTGACTGATTTAACACACTTAAAATAGTGCCAGGCACGCAGTGACGGCTCAATATATACGTGTACTTTTACCATGCCGTGGCCTTCCTAGTTGACATGTTGATGTCATGCTCCCAAAGAACTGTAGACTTACCTCCCCTCAGTAAGTTCCATGGCCCCTCCGGCGTCTGCTGGACGGTGGATTCACTGCCCTGTGAAAAGGCTTCGGTGGACTGACCCCGGAATCTTATAACCATCTGTGTGTATCATTGTTTCCATGAGGAAATACCTTCCATGCTTGAAACATCAGACCCACAAATTAAATTTCGGAACACAACTCTTTCCTAGTCTGAGGCCTGTGCTATTCATTACATTGTTGGGATCAAGATGAGGAAGGAAAGTAGGACTAAGGGGCGGCTGCTGGCCGGGCGTGGTGCAGGATACCAGGCCTTCAGTATATTGTTCAATCCTCAAAAGCATTCTCCCAGTAGGAACTGCGATGGTTATCATTTTGCATATCTGAGGTGTTTAGTAACGGGCTAACGACTACGCCACCTGTCAGAAGCACTCCTGGGGTTTGAACCCTGCTCTCCTGGCACTGGGGTTCACTCTGCCATGCCCTCTAAAGTAATCTCACCTGGAGGGGTTTTCTTATTCACAGTGAGTTCTCCTTTTATTCTGATGCCATCATCTCTCTGTTAAAAAATATATATATATATATAATTACATCCAGGCTGTGTAATGTTGCATTTCACGAGGCCTTAATGAATTTCCCAGATAAACTGATATCATGGATCTAAACTCCTAGCCAGGGATGGTGGAGACAGGAGTGTGAGGGGAGAGAAAACATCACCAAGGCACCTTTTGAGCACAAAGCTGTAGGGGTGGGGGAAGTGAGGATCCCTGAGAAAGAACTCTCCAGGCAGTGGGAATAGCACGTGCAAAGGCCCTGGGGTAAGAATATGCCTGGTGGGAGAAGGCAGAGCGAGGAGGCCAGAGTAGCTAAGTGGAGTAGGGGAAGGGCCAGAAGTGAGGTCAGAGAGTATCTCCGGGGATGCTGGTCGTGTAGATCTTTCTGGGCTGTGGCAAGAGCTTCGTTTTCACCTGAGTGAGGTGGGAGCCCATGAGACAGTTCTGAGCAGAGGAAAGATGTGCTCCGCTCCACTTTTTAGAAGTCTCAGTCTTGCAGCCATGTTGGGAGGAAGCACAGAAGCAATGACAGCATTTCAGGAGTTACTGAAATAACATATGTGAGAGACGCTGAAGGTGTGGATCAGGATGGCAGCCATGGAGATGATGGGAAGTGTTTGGATTCTGGATATATTTTAAAGATAAAGTCAGGGGGAAAAAAGACCCAATGGTTTAGATATGGATTATGAGAAGGGTCAAGCATGAAAATAAGTTTTTTGCCTAAGCAGCTGGAGAGACAGTGATACCACTTGCTGAGACAGGAAAGGAGGAGCAGTTTAGGTAAGAAAAAAATTAAGAGATTCACTTTGGACATATTAAGTTGAGGGGCCTATGGGCACCTGGCCGGAGACACCAAGTACGTAGTGTGCATGTGAGTGTGGAGTTCGGGGCACAGGTCTGAGATGGAGTCATCGGCATAGAAGGAACAATAAAACCGTGATCCCAGATGAAAGCATGAAGAAAGCGAGTATAAACAGGGAAGGGGCCAAGGATTGCTAACACTGATCTATGTGCTTTTTCTTCACCAAAGAAGGCATGGGCAGGCTGAGTTAGAAAAAATCTCCAGGATGGCTTAGCCCAAGATCCCGGTTCTGCAGTTCGATCATTGAAGCTCCAAGAGATGAAATGACTCGTCCAAGGCCACACAGTTGGTAACACTGAGACAAGAACCGAGGACTACTCTGAGTCCTGATTCCAAGCCTATTAAATCACATCACTTCAGCTGCTTAGGGAGTGATGGATGCTCAGCCAGCCAGAAGGACAGAGGAGAGGAAAACGGGACATACGCCAACTCACCCCCAGGAAGCCGACCCGGCCCTCGGTGACCATGAGGAAAGAGAAAAGCCAGAACGCCGGAACCCTCATCTTCCTGGTCTTGGATGAGGTCCTGGATGGGACATGAACAGCTGGGTTCGCAGTCTGTGACCAGACGGGTGTGCACTGTGCAAGGCTGAGGCACAAAAACAAAGAATTCAAGCCAAAATTTAAAAATGCACAGAGGTCTAACTGGGCTCATCGGAAGCCCTGAGTGTTTGATGATTTTTCCACCGGAGACGCCATCACTTCCACTCCTGCTGCAGAAGTAGTGACTTTCTCACTTTACAAACTTACTAGGAAAATTTTTCCAGAGCTCTCTTCTAGGGGCTCAAACTTGACTCAACACAGACTACTTTAAAATCATGACTTGTTTAACTTTGCAACTGGGTGCATTTGACAGCCAGCCTTTTCTATTTCGCTGAGGTTTTCTTTTCATCTCAGTAAAGGCAAGCATTCAAATAACCCAGGACCCTGGAACCATTACTGTAAGGATCGAATCAGCATAAAAATCACAATGAACCAATCCAGCAAATGTCCTTCTTCAGAGCTGATGTAATAAGCGACAAATTGTCCTCAAGTTCACAGTTAGCTCAGAATAATTTAGACAAAATTCAGCCCACAGTCATGATCGTTAAATTCCCTTCCCCTTCACAGCTCCAGAGGACAAGAAGGAAGGCTGTGATTCCCAAACTCAATAACCCACCATTAGAGCAAGTGGCCGAGGCCAGGAGCACAGAGCACAGGGTTGGTGCTCCACTCACCTTGCTTCCTGGGTGCGCTTTGAACTTCACACACACCCCACCATCCCGACGGCTTGGCCCCACTCTCTGCACTGCGATCTACAGGAAAAGAGAAAAGGCACTAGAGACAGGTGGTGGCTCCCACAGACGTGGCCTGCATGGCAGCAGAGACTCTTTGTAGGGAAGCATGAAGGATAACCAGTGGGGCAAGTACACCTCTTGTATGCACCTCCTCCGGTCGGTCGTGGATGGTCCTCTCACGCTCCCACCTTCCTGCCCGCAAACCCCACCTCCCCCAACCGACCGCTTTAACTTTCTCTGGGCAGCGGCCTGGCCTCCAGATCAGCTTCCCGATCCTGTTTCCCCAAACCTGGCTGCCCTGAGGTTTGTGCCCTCTAGCCTGGGCTTTCTGCTTTCCGAAAGGGCTGGATATTCATCTCTGGAGTGGTGTTTTTCAAATGTTTTTGACCCCATAGAAAGAAACATATTTTATCACATGAGTATGTGTATATACACACACAGATACTGCATAAAACATGTGTGTGTATGTACACACTCGAACACAATGAAAATTTTATATATACTTAAAATAACCAAATAGTTTTGTGAAACAAAACTTAATTCTTTCTCTTTGCTCTTGGATATTTTCTGTTTTCTTTCTTTTTTTTTTTTTTTTTTGATAAATTGCCACGACCTGCCTAACTGATTTCCCAGAACCTTCCTGGAGTGCGGCCACATCGCAGAGGGAGCCCGTGCTCCTTCTAGACCCTTCCCCACTTTCCTCCACTTCCGGGGACAGGTTTTAACGTGGATTCCTGGGTCCTGTGCGGGCCGTGTCCCTGAACTGCTGGCGCTCCCAGAGGGCCGCCGTCCTGGCGCACGCGGACGTGTGCCAAGGCTGCTTCCAAACGGAGGGCCTGGCCCCCACGTGGCGCTTTCTCTCCGTTTCTCTTTCAGTCTCTCTCCCTGAAAAATCTCCTTCTCCCACAGGGCATCCAAGCGTGAGGCTGCAAACCCAACACCAGAAGTCCTGGGGGACAGCTCTGCGTGTTAGGAGGAGACCCTCTCTCATCCTCTCGGCCTCTTTATTCTCCCTCCTTCCCACACTGGCGGGAGGCTTCTGGGCTGACTCCTTGGACTTGCTAGAAATGGTAAAACTATAACTTATCTCAGGGTTTCAGACCAGGGATTCCCAGTCATTGGCCCACAGGCCAATCATGAGTAAGATGGACTGCAAGAAGGAGGACAGGCTCGGGAAGGAGAAGAGGAGATAGCGGGGAGCTCACGTGAAAAATCCAGGTGCCCCCGCCCTACTCTAAACCTACCAAATCTCAGGGCAGGGGAGGCCCCACCATGAGCATCATGAAAGCTTCCCACGCGAGGCGCTCCCCTGGACAGCTTTGAGAGCTGTTATTCTATGGGAGAGGAAAAAAGAATTCTGATACTGTGATCTGAAGCCTCCTTTCAAGTGGGCTTGGGACCAAAGCTCAAACCAAAATTTCATCTTTTAGAGCTGAATCACTTTGCTGTACACCAGAAACTAACACATTTAAATCAACTGTACTTCAATTTTTTTAAAAAAATGTTTTTTCTTTACTTCCTCGGTGCACTCGGTCCCTCTGGGGTCGGGTTGGAAGACTGACTTTCAGATAAATAACAATGTTTTAGTGTAAGTATGTGCCACACGATATTTGGGACACTATTCGTTGTCCAGAATTACCGCTGTATTTTGGAAATTCATATTTAACTGGGCAACCTGTATTTGACAGCTAGTCAAAGGCAGGAAAATGGTATCTCGAAGTGCAGGTTCTGTGGTTAGACTGCCCAGGCTTCGGATCTCAGATTTGACATTAATCATCTGGATGCCCTTTGACATTTTCTTAGGCTCTCTATGCCTCAGTCTACTCATCTATAAGACGGGGAAAGCAGTATCTAATTCAGAGATTCTTCAGAGCATTGAATGAGTAATTGCATATGGAGAACTCAGAACATCGCCTGGCAGGTGGCAAGCCTCAATTATCAATAGCTACTAATATTAGCATTTCAACCTTACCACCAGTTTTTATAGTTACTTGTTGGATTGGGTCAGAATTTAACTTCGATTCTCAGTCAAGTTAATTTATCAAGTAAAAGGTGCTCCTGGGTTGAGGGCCAGCACTGCGTAAGTGGAAGGGTCCCAGCTTTGAGGTGGTAAAGATATATTTTTACGGTAACCGGTTATCAGACTCAAAGGAGGGTTTCAGCATGAGGATACCAAGAAATACTTTGTGTGTGTGTGTGTGTGTGTGTGTTGGGGGATGTAATCTTATATCCTACTTAATTTCGCTTTTACTAGAGGCAAACCCCATGGTATTTTCAGCACTTCCCCTTCCAAGCTGGAAGGATTCTGTGCTCAGCTGGGGGCCAGCGATGTCTGACCTACAGTGGGTCGGCCCTGTCGTCCGTGGGAAGGCTTGGCTGTGCTGGGACCCCCCTTACTTCCTTGAATTCATTCAAGTGAATTCATTCCTGATAATCTCTGTCCTTCAGTCTTTGGAGAACAATCATTAGAATTTGCTATTACGCCTCTGGGGACGGCTGCCCATTGTCTCCCCAGTCCTCCAGTTATGTATTTATGGACTCCAAATATAATTTATTTATGTCAACAGCTGTCTCCTTATCAACAGTTGGAACTGCTCTCATCTACCTTTTCCAGTATTTTTAGCAACAATCTAATTTTAGGCAGAGCTGAACTCTTGGGCCGCTTTCCTGGCATTAGCATTTATGGGATTGTGATTCTTCCTCTATAAATAGAAGAATTCCCAGAAGAGTTGTCACCTTCCTCTGTCTTGGACTCACAGGTGCACACATGCATCCCCCACACCCCCACACAGAAAAAGCAGATCCCCAGCTAGGATCTGAAAAAAAAAAAATCATGACTCAGCTAGAACTGGTTAACAGGCAAAGGACCTGTAAAACCTTGGTTTTATGTTACCTCTTATTTTATATGTCTTTGGTCACATTTTCATTGGGATCTGCCTTTGTATAGGGATCTCTGGGCCACTGGCCTTTGAGGAGAGTTTCACTGTGTTCCTTTCAGGAGGCAGATATGGCAGAGAAGACAGGTGGAAAGACAGGTAGGGACAGAAAAGATAACCAATTTCACAACTTGAAAAAATGTGTGGTGGTTTGGTGAATTTTACAAGCTAGACCAACTTCTTCTAGAAGAATTATAACTTAAAGTTACTTAAAATATCAGTGCATGTCTATATAAATATGTGTCCACAATAAAATTTTTAACACACATTTTCTATTTTAGCATGTTTTTAGTATGTTAACATCGAATAAAAGTGGAAAAAGACCTAGATGAATTAGACCCTAACCTCAGTTTGGTCCCTTATCTGTTAGAATCTGTAAAAGTTAAAAAAAAAAAAAAGAAAACTGTCTGGATTCAATTTCTTCTTGTATACAGTAGGCAATAAACAAGGTGCACTCAGAGCCAGTGTCAGATTCAATCATTTCACACCCATTTCCCGGTTTCTAATTCGTAGATTATTTATTTAATTGGTCTTTTCATCAGTGTCCGTCAGTCATCAAATCTGAGCCTGGAGAGATTACAGTCTTTACTGACCTCTGGTCTTGTTTTCTCCTTCCACTGGTTATTTCATTCTTAAGCATCTTCTGAGAGGGGCTGAGAACTCGCTAAGAGTTAAGTCCTTGGGTTGAGAGCAGTGGTATGACTTTTAAGAACTCTGGAGTTATAAGGCTGCAGGAGACAAAAGGAATTCCTTCGCTCCATCGTCCCTTCCCTGGGACAGTTTACCAATCCACCAAACTTCAACTTGTCTGATCACTGTGCATCGAGAGCCTCCAGTTCCCAGGCACTGTGCCAGGCTCGGGCTGTACACGACACGGGCGTGTTCACGCATCGTAGCTCCATCCACTCGGAGAAACTGCAAAAGCTGTATCAGACCCAAAACACCTGCAGGGCTGCTGGGCTCTCTTTGTTCGTAGGTCCCTGTTTACACCCTCCGATGTTTCATTCAATGGATCTCCCGTCAAAGTCCAGATGGTGATGCTACCACTTCTTCTGATCCTTTTCCACCCAAAAATTGAGATATATATTTTTTTACAAGTCCCTGTGTCCTTTGCCACGAATTGGCATTTCTCCTGCTGCCGGTGCTATCTGTCTAGCACAGCTGTCTGCCCCCTCCTCATAAGGACTCTGGTTTTTAAAATTAATTCATCTTTGCTTTGCATCTTAGAAGGGATGCAGGATGATCTGTCGTTCTTAGCTCATCACCCGGGACTTCTTTGGGTGTGGGTCTTCATTTCCCACAGACGAGTCCAGCTCAGTTCGTCTATCAAAAGCCTGCCTGCCAGACTCAAGGGTTGGCTGTGTTCCAACCCCCTATAACTGAAGATTTTCTTCTGTCACTCACGGTGCAGTAGAGCAGAAGTTACCACCAAGCCCCTAAAGGATGATTAATGGCACTCTAGAGAAAGTGCCAAGCTTTCTTCCAGCCAAGACTTCAGCTTAGCAGTGGGGACCCAGCCTTCCCGGAATCCCCAGGTCATTAGCTTCCATCTTCCCCACTCAACTGTGCTGACTTACAGTCGGTAAAGCCAGAGAATGTGAGCTTCCTCTGGGATTGCTTGCTTGAAAAAAGTACCTGAACAGCACTCAACGGAAGGGGTAGTTACATAAGAAGAAATAAGAATAATTCTTCCTCATTTGTAGAATGCTTTCATATATAGTGATTCGAGTATTTCAGCAATTAAGGGAATGATTTTGTTCTCCCACTTGTGTAAAATGAGAAGGGTAAACCTAAATTCCAGATTAAAAGAATTTATCAACTATTTCCTTAAATCTCTCTCCCCAAAGAGTCTAATATTTCTCTTGGACTCTGGGCCTGGCTTAGGCCACGATTTTAATAAAGTCATCATTGTTAACTTGATCGCCATCTGATTTCCTGACAATTAAGGACTCTTTGTCCAGGAAAAAGAATACACAACGTGTCACTGGTGTCTAAGGAAAGTCAGCTATTTATGGATGAGAACGCAATCCATCAGGCCTCCTGGGACGAACCCACAGAACGAGGTCTGTGGGGTCTTCGTGTGAGAAAGGTCAGATGAAAGATGTTACAAACTTTTCTTGCGTCATCTATTTTTAAGTAAAACAAATGGCTTTCATTCAGTGGTCATGCTGAGAAACCTTAATTGTTCCAAATCTACCAAAAAAAAAAACCCACTCATTTTTTAAGCTTCCCTAAGACTATTAATAGTATTTTCATTATAATTTCCTAGTAAGTAAAAGCAACGTTTTCAATCATATTCCTCAGATGATTCTTTTGAGAAAAAGAACCAGTTGCCTGGCATTCCACCCATTCTGCAAGTATCATGCCAATCCATACTCAAAACCTTCCGGGCTTCAGATTATGTGCAGATGAGAAGCGAACACATTATCCTGGCAAATTAGCTATCTAGCCTACTACAGTCTGCCCCCAAATGTTCCTTCTTGTGCGTCCTTAATTCCAGTTATTGCATTTTGAGTTTTGATAGATGTGGCCAAACTGCCCTCCTAATTTGTATGCATTTACAGTCCCTGGTAAGGTGTAGAAATGCCATTTCATCACACTGTCCCCAACATCTTTTTAATGTTTGCCAAACTGATAGGCAAGTTTTTATCTAATTGGTTTAATTTTATACCTTTGATTATTAATATGATTAAGCATTTTTTAGATGTTTATTGGTCATATATATATATATTTTCTGGCTTGACAAAGTCATTGTCCTAAGTCTATTGAAATATTCACCTTTTTCTTGAGAACTGCTTCGAGGAGTTCATCACATTGCATAGGTATCAGCTCTTTGTCACTCATGTTGTAAACATTTGCTCATCATTTTGTCTTTTCGCTCTTTTAACTTTTTATGTTGTCCTGTTTGGCACAAGAGTTTAAGACATTCATGGAATCACATCTGTCAACATTTTCCATTATGGATTTTAAATTTGGGGCCATGCTAAGAATTTTTTTTCTGTAAAAAGATTGTAAAAATATCCTGCTATATTTTCCTTTAACACTGCTTTAGGTGAGTTTGTTTGTTCGTTGTATACATTTAAATCTTCAATTCTTCTGGAGTTATTTTAGGTTTTGGTATAAAATAAGGGTTTACTTTCATTTTCTTCGAAATGAGTAACCTTTTATCCCAATTATGTTTCTTGACTAAACCATTCTTTCTCATAGACCATCTTAATGACTTCTGTATCAATTTTAAAGGTGCATCTTGTCATAGAATGAAATTCTACCCTAAATATTTTTTTAAAAGTTCTACTGCTATCTGTGTCTTTTCTTTTGCTAGTTACTTGCTTAATTGGCATCTTGGTCAACAATGTAGAAGAGTATTACATACCTAAGAAATATGTCATTAAATGTCTTATTAGAAATAATTAGCCTACATATACATACGTATGTGTATAACTGAATCGCTTTGCTGTACACCTGAAACGAACATTGTAAATCAACTACACTTTAATAAAAACAAAATTAAAAAAAAATTTGCCTGACTCTCTTAAGAGATTAAACATAGGGATGTCTTCCAGCAAAACCGGGCTAAAGTGCAAATACAAGTGTGAATGGTTTCCTGGAAAATATAATCTGCTTAATACAGAGTCTCTTTACCCAAAACTTTGCAGGTATGACCCTGTTTCACTGTGACAAGTTGTCCTAACACCACAAATTTATAGTAAACGCCTGCTAACCCCTAAATAATAAAGGAACTCATGATCAGATTTTTAAAAATTTTATCTTATGAGAAAGAAGCAAATGATAAGGAAATGATCTTCAAGACCTTATTTAAAGTCTTTACTTTAAAACACTTTCTTTCAGACAAAACAAAACAAAAACTAGAGTTTCCATAGTTTGTGGGCATCTGGAGACTAAAAACTGACAATGGCACTGAGGACCCAGAGACCCCGTGAGGACCAGGTAGCCGTCTTCAACGGGATCGAACTATATTGTGCACATTTTAAGGCTGTTCACTCTTTGCATCTTATTTATTCAACTGACTGCGCGTGTGAAATTTACTCTAACTCTAGGCAATGCCAGGGCGCTTTCACACTTGTTCATTCTTACGGCTTTTCATTCTCAGTCTGCCAGAGCCCAGGTTTCCATCTGCCGTTGCACCAGAGCCCCTGTGAGATGGTCTGTGGGGGAGGAGTTGCAGCAGGAGGCCCTCCCGCCTGGCTCTGTGGACCCCGACGGCGGTGGCGGAGCTCAGCAAGGCTCCAACCAGATGTTGGATGGCGCTGGGGATCCCTTGCATCACCCCTCCAGGTGTCTACATTATTACCACAGCCATGAGGACCATGTGCTCAGTCCAGAACTGTGGACACTTGACATCCCATGAGCACTTCTCGGCTCCAACACCATCTGTGTGTTTGGGAGCGGGTTTCCCCTTCTCTGTAGCTACGGGTATTCCCTGCCAAAGAACTTCAGAAAGAGAATGTGGCAGAAATATTCTGCACGTTGCAAAGGCATTTGTTTAGATTGGGTGGAATGTGGTTTCATAAGGTGTGGCCTTAAGGTAAACTGTGAATTCAGTGACATTGTCCTGGAGATGCCACCCCTCCACTTTCTGAGTCATGCACCTGCGGACCCACCGTGCCACTGTTCAGGCCCTTCCACACCCAGTACCCTCTTGTTTCTTCCAGTTTACACTTGCTCCCAACCCAAGTGCTAAAAAATGTCACTGACACCTTCATTTGAATGATATGTTCATGTACTTTTTCTAGGAGGATATCTGTGTCCCTCTGATAGTGGAATGAATGACGGCAGAGGGCACACAGATGCCCAAGTATGGTGCCCCCCGACCCTCAGCACAGCCAGAGATAAACCCTGTGATAGAAGCCCTGTCCCTGCTTTTAAAAAAGATAAAGACATACACTGTCTTTTCAGAGAAACAAGACATATGCACCCACGAGGCATGTCAGCAACAATTTACATCAGCTCGTGGTTGTGCACGAAGCAGGCGTGTTTGCCAAGTCAAGCTTATAAGACTCAGCACACGTGTACTCCCATTTTAACGCTCCATGCTCCTTGCTACCATTTTCCAAATTAAGAAACCAGAATAAAAAAAAAGCTAAATAATTTTCTCAAGGGTATACCAACTGTTAATAGTTGAATCAAGTACTGTACGTGGCCATATAAGGTACGGTTTTAAATTTGGGTTATGGTTGAATAATTAGTAGTGGTTCTATATAAAAAAAACAGAACATAACAAAAGGCTTGTGCTAATACTCTGATAAATTATAGAACGCAGTTTTATCTGTTTTTGTTACTTCTCTTCTGTCTGTCATCCCCAGACCATGCCTGTTATCCCCAGGTTTGGGTGAATGGATTTCTCCATGGCAACGTCAAAGCCATCACCTCACCGCACCTCTCCCACCCGGACCCTCTTTCCATCCCCCCCTTCAGTCACTTCCCCCTGTTTAGTCTCTGGCCTGGGTGGATTACAAGGAATATCAGGTTTGCATAAATGGATTCTTGAAGAAAAAGAAGAAAAGAGAAAAGAAAAAATGACTAATTTTCAAGGCCCGTCGGTCAGAAAATATAGTGCGTTGCTTTATAGTTACTTGGGGGAAAGAGCAGCGGCAACGATTGTGAGGGTCAATTTTTGGATTTTTCAGAGTCTAGAGAAGGAATTAAATTGAGGAGTACTTCCGGAACATGAACGGGTTAGGTCAAAGCTTAAATCAATTCATCCTAAAGTGAAAATAAACCTGATCTGCTCCAGCATATTTTTATTTCAAGAGGGGGCTAGGGCTAACATATATGTGGGAGCCATGAGACTGGTATTTTTAGTCCCAGTCACTCAACCTCCCAGGCCCGCCCCAAGAAGAGGGGTACAGGGTTGTAACTGACAGAGAGAAAGGTATGCTTTGAGCCGAGTGTGAGAGTCAGCAAATCACCTCAATTTATATGGTTACCAAGACACTGAACTCTGTTGTATCTACTCATTGCTTTTTCCACTCTCTGTTCCTGTAGTTAATCTTCTCCAGGAAATGGGTTACTGAAATCGTTATCCCCGTGGGGAGGGGGAAGGAATCTCAGATTAACAAGTGGTAATGAGGACAGCAAATGCAACCACAGCTTTGGGGCTCACCTGAGAGTCCTCTCTTCACATCGCAGCCCGGGAAGCCTTCCTCCGCCGCACTGCTGCTGCTCTGTTTGGAAAGACAGTTGGAGTATCTAAGCCACCGCCGGTCACTCGCTGGCAGGCGTACAGGGCCACTGCTTCACCAGCAACTCCTGCTGCGCATTGCTGCCCTGTAGGCAGACAAGCCCAGGACACACCCCCTTCAAGAAGGAAGAAATACCTTTCTGTTGACTCTCCCTCCCACTTGGAGTCCCTGTCAGGCCTGGTAAGAGGAACGAGTTCAGAGCCTAAGACCTAAGGATTCGCCCAGCAGACAGAAATCACAGGAGGAAAAGGGAAGAAAAATGCTCCAGCAGAAGGCAGAGCACATCTGTCCTAGGTTTGTCTGTTACACGAGGCCGCTCTGTCCAGCTTTCCCGTCCAGCCTCGGGACACCGGGGGTCACACCCTACACAGTGGAAGGAATGCAGCCCTTCATGCATTAATTTCACGTGGGGGGGGGTCATTCCAGGGGGTGTGTGGGGAGTGGTGGATCCCATTTTTTCTTTTCCAACTGTCTCACTCAAGGCTGCAGAATCAACGTGCTACTCTCCCAAAGTCTTCTGACTTCTGGGTAGAATAATACGGAATAGGGCTGGGGAGTCAAGAGAGAGCAAGGGTGTGCCTGCCCAGGGTGAATGTTTCCAGTGTATTCTTTGTCCTTAGAAACCCTAGGGCTAAACCTTATTAACCACTTTCATTAAAGTCTCTTTCCTTTCTAAGGAGTCATCTGATTTGAAAAACAAACATTCCTCATTTACAAGTGACTTCTGATGACTTATGCTTTAAGTTACTCCATCTTTTCCAAATGATTTGAGGTGGCTTTCAATACTAAATGCATAAAATAAAATTACATTAGAATAGACACAAAGAAACGTGAACTAGGGGGAGGGTATAAGTCAGTGATAGAGCACATGCTTAGCACGCACGAGGTCCTGGATTCAATCCCCAGTACTTCCATTAAATAAAAAAAAAATTTTTTTTCAAAAGAAACATGAACTAAAACATTTCTATATAAACCACATGATAAAAAAGGGGAACTATCGAAGTAGAGAGTCAACTAAGACAAGAATGTAAATAAAAACTGAGGTAGCTACTCAGTTTTGTAAATTTAAAATGTAATTCTGGGGACAGAGTTCCTATCAAAGAAAAGAGGAAGCTATTCAGGTATCTTGTTGTTGTTACTAGAAAAGACGGAGCACCCATTTTCTCAGGAAGAAGAAAATGGTCCTTGGAGCACTCAATTCTGAGAGAAATCTGTATTTTTAGACTGAACAGTATTCCCAATAATATTAGAGCCCATAATTTCACATCGAAGTCCTTTCGTGCCAAGCAGTCCTGAACTCGACGTGACCCGCTTGTGTCCAACACCCGCTGGACCTCTTGATCCACATTCCTAACCCGTCATGCCCAGGCCTGGACCTGGTCCAGTGGAAAAGATGTCAAGAGAACAAGGCCATCCTGACAACCCCCAACTGTTCAAGGGCATCAACCATTGCTCCAGTGACCCCCTCCCCCGTCCCCCAGCCTGGGTGGGTTAGTGTCGATCTCATAGTTTAGTCAAGTTAATTCCATTCTCCTTGTGGGCCTTTTCTGAAGGGTTCTGCCTATTTTCAGAATCCACCAATTGTTAGTGGAGACCAAGTTCCATTCAAGACAAGGGTCCGGGACTTCTGAAAATACATACTCTCTCTCTGTTGACCCAGTGTCTAAAGTCCTGGGATTAGATGCCTTCTTTTCAGTTCTAGGATGCTCTTCTCCTGCTGTCTGTATTAACAGGTAAGTGCTTGTAGGCAGATGTCGGCCACCGACATCTCAGTGGGACTGTGTTTATACAATGGGGCTAACAATTTATTAATTACTTAGGAAGAGAGTAGCTATGGAATTGGGTGGGCAGTGAGGAAGAGGAGTAAGGAGGCAGCGGAAGGGAGGACAAAATGGCCAGTCAGTGTGGAGCTCAACATGGTGAGGGCTTGCAACTGAAATAGAAACTCTTTATTCACCTCCAGCCAGATTGTGTCGTGAAACCCAGCAACTTCCCAGGGGCTGGTGTATGGCCCACAGAACCAAAGCAATTCCTACAGTTTCTTATTAGACCAAGAACATTTAGCAGGTATTAGAAAATTAGGCAACCAGTAGACACCAGTGATTTTGTGAGTACATTGATTTTGGTGAAACTCTGAATCCAAAGAAATGAATATGCTTTTTGTTTTCTCTTTCTTTTTCCATGTTTAAAAATTGAAGTATAGTCCGTTTACAATGTTGTGTAAATTTCTGGTGTACAGCATAATGTTTCATTCATACATATACACACATATATTCCTTTTCATAGTCTTTTACATTGTAAGTTACTACAAGATACTAAATATAGTTCCTTGTGCTAGACAGTATAAATGTGTTATTTATCTATTTTACATATAGTAGTTAATATCTGCAAATCTTGAACTCCAAATTTATCCCTTACCATCCCTTTCCCTTACTGTTAATATAAGTTTGTTTTCTGTGTCTTTGAGTCTGTCTTTGTTTTGTAAATAAGTTCATTTATGTATTTCTTTTATTCCATATATAAGTGATATCATATGGCATTTTTCTTTCCCTTTCTGGCTTACTTCACTTAGAATGACCATCTCCAGGTCCATCCATGTTGCTGCAAATGGCATTCTTTTATTCTTTTTTATGGCTGAGTAATATTCCATTATATATATATATATATATATATACATATATATATCATATGTATGTGTATATATATATACCATATATATGTGTGTGTGTGTGTGTGTATACCATATCTTCTTTATCCAGTCATCTGTCAATGGACCCTTAGGTTGATTCCATGTCTTGGCTATTGTAAATAGTGCTGCTGTGAACACTGGGGTGCATGTATCCTTTCAAATTAGAGTTCCCTCCAAGTATATGCCCAGGAGTAGGATTGCTGGATCATATGGTAAGTCTATTTTTAACTTTTTGAGGAATAAAGAAATGAATGTGTTTAATGCTAATTCCATATTTGACAGAAGGAGATCATGGTATGCCCAATATTGAGGTTGTTTCATGAGGAGGGTGTGCTTCTAATTACCCATGACTCACCCATTAGCCATTTAATCATTTCTTCTAGCTTCCTCCTAATAATCTGTTAAAGCATGCAATGCTGAATTTTTCTATATTTCCTGGTTAGGCTATGGGGCTCCCCTGTCACTACAGAGGACAGAAAGCAAATGAAAGAAGCATGGGTTTGAGCATGGGAGTGGCATTGTGACATGCCTTTGTTAAGAGCTCCAGAAGAGCCACCTTCTGTGAAGGCAGAGCTACTTCTCTGATGTGACTGCAACATTCCTTCTGCCACATAATCTCACACAGTAACTACGAAGCAGGAGCAAGGGGTCCACCTGAGGGCATGCAGGCAGCCGAACAAATGCGCCTTGGTCCATCTGGTCTACCTTACATTCCTTTCTTTGGTGATATTGGCCACAGAGCTTCCTTGGCCAGCATCCTTGAAGTGGCAAAGAACAAGGAGGAAGACCCGGGGCTGAGGAAAAGCTCCAAGCCTCCTACCTCCATCTGTTTGTTTGCGTTGGTCGCCTGAGCCGTCTGATGGCTTGGTTTCCCAGCAAAAGAGCAGTGTCCTGCGAATAAGTAGCAACACACTGAGGCCCGGGAGAAAGGAAGTAGCAAACAGATCTTGTTATCGGAACTAGTCATCTAACTCTTAGGATGTCAACAAACTTTCCCTGAGTGACTGCTGTGGGCATGAGACAAGAGCTAATTATACCAGCAGGTGGACCTGGGAAAGACGTGAACCCACACCCAGGAGGGCCCGAGCATCAGAAGTACCGGGCATTCTCCCAGCTTGGTCTTTGAGAAGCTCACATTCAGGGGCTTCAGACACAAAGGACCACCCTGGAAATACATTGATTCAAGGGAGGGACAGATTCTGAACTGTTTCAGGTGGATTTATGCCATAATTGTGAAAGAGTTAAATGCAATTTAAAAAAAAAATCAGGTATAATTAGGGAAAAAACCTGAAAGGAGAAGTAAAGAGGGGAAGAGTTGAGTGTAAAATGGAAATTATGGTGAGTCATATGGTAAGTCTTACAAATACGGTCAAACAATCAAAATGGATGGAGTCATTTAACACTCAGGACTGGGACTTAAAGAGAGGTAGGTGGGGAGTCATTGGACTGTATTGGTCAGTGTGACTTATGAGAAAATTACTATACTATTATATACAATTACTATACCAATAATTGTATAATAATTATATAATAATTGTATTGTATAATAATTGTATTGCTATTTAGCATTAAAATAAAGAACATTCAAATAAACAAGGGAAGAGTTCACAAAACTGTAGGGACTCTCTTCCCAACCATATCGGAGCCAGGAGCGGCAATCTACAGACACGGGCACCAAATACGGGAAGAAATGAAGTACCAGCATTTAGTATCAGTTTTCATTACTGCTGAGCACTAACTGCGTTCCGAGGACTGCTTTGAGAACTTTCTGTGTGCTTTTCTGCTCTCAGCAGCCCGTGATGCAGTTACACCATCATCCCCATATTATAGATGTGGAAATTGAACCACAGAGCAGTTAAGGTAACGATGGGCCAGGACACCAACACAGCCTGACTTGACTCTGTTTTCTGAACCTATACTCTACCGTTTCTCAAAGACAGATGAGAAATACAAAGAGAAGGGTGCAACCCTTGTGAAATAATCAAAGAACAGGTACTAACGAGACCAGGCATTTTCACCATCTGACCCGTCTGTGATAAAGCGGATAGCCACCAAAGCCTCACAGAATCCACAGCTTCCATACAAAGCAACAAGTAAATTCCAAGTGTTACTAAATTCAGAGGGTGAATTTAACAGAGCCAGGTGATCTTCCATCCAGTGACTTTAATCAGTTCAGAACGTGCTGCACTTGAAAGTCAGAGATAACACTGAGAAGAGAAAGCCACAATCTATAAAAGTAATGAACCCTCACCCTGCCTGTCTTTAAAATGAGAACTATATGGCACCAAGCAGCCCACCTTTCCAAGCTCACAAGACCCCCGTGGGGTCACAGGAAAGGCCCACCCACAGCACCGAAACATAGCCTCTGTGTTCTCACGATGCTCAGGAATTCACACGGGGTCCGGGCAGCCTCAGTGGAGAAGTTTGTCCTGAAGTTCAGCTTTGACTCATGGGTTCTAGATTCCCAACCCTTAACAGTAAGATGCATCTCTCCACCAGCCCTGAAGGGACAGAAAAAAATAACACAAACGAGGCTGCAGAAGA